ATCGGAGAGGAGATTTTGAAGAGGGATTGGGACAGGGCAGAGCAAGGGAAGATCGGGATACGTGGGGGGGTCCAGGCACATGGGAGAGGGGAAACTATGGAGGATTAAGGGGGAATGGCGGGGATCGGAAGGTGAGGAAATTGAAAATGCCCATTTTTGAAGGGGAGGATGCCTATGGGTGGATCTACAAAGTGGAGAGGTACTTCGCTGTTAACGGCTTGACGGAGGAGGAGAAGTTATCAGCAGCGGGCTTGTGTCTGGAAGGGAATGCACTCTCTTGGTACCAGTGGAGAGATCAGAGATGACCTATCCGGAGATGAGAAGAATTCAAGGATAGTTTGATAGAGCGTTTCCAAATCGACCGATGAGGAGACTTCTACGAGCAGTTATTTTCTCTGGTGCAGGAGGGGTCTGTGGCGGACTACCGAGAGAGATTTGAGCATCTGGCCAGCAGGGTTGAGTGCTTGTCCGATACTATGCTGGAGGGGAACTTCATGAAGGGATTAAAGGCAGAGGTTAGAGCAGCGGTGAATGTCCTGATGCCCAGGGACCTGGGGGAGGCCATGAAGCTTGCACAATTGGTTGAAAATCAAAAGAATCTGGAGAAGGGAGCTAGGAATAGCAACTCATGCGGCACTTACAGGTGGACGACTACCCACCTAGCCCTAAAGGAGCATCCAGAGGAGGGATGAAAGAAGTTCCAAAGGAAAAAGCAATAGGAGGAAATGGGGGGCAGTTCAATAAGCTTACTAAGAAGGAAATGCAAGAGAAGAGAGCAAAGGGGCTGTGTTTCCGTTGCGATGAAAAATACATGCTTGGGTATAAGTGTAAGGATCGAACTCTTCAAGTTCTCCTCGTTTGTGAAGACGAGAAAGACGAAGAGGGAGGGGGAAGCGATTTTGAGGTGGAGGAAAAAATGTATCTAGATGTGGCAGAAGTCTCTCTCAACTCCGTAGTGGGATTCACTCTGAGTCACACTATGAAGGTGAAGGGAGAGATAGCTGACCGTGGAGTCGTGGTGTTGATTGATAGTGGGGCAACCCACAATTTCATTTCCACCCAGATTGTGGAGCTGCTGGGGATGAAGTTAGTAGATACTGGAGGCTATGGGGTGATGATGGGCACGAGGAAGGTAGAAATGGGAAGAGGAGTCTGTAGGTTGGTGGTGCTGAAGATCCAAAGGCATACAAGTGAAGGAAGACTTTCTTCCCCTAGAATTAGGGAGTATGGATGTCATCCTAGGGATGAAGTTGTTGCAGACATTGGGGGAAACCAAGGTCAATTGGGGCACTCTGCGGATGGAGTTGATGAAGGGAGGAAGGAAGAGGGTGATTCAAGGTGATGCAGGGCTGAGCAAGGCATGGGTTTCTCTTAAATCCCTAATCAAGACAATTTAAGAGGAGAGGGAAGGCTATTGGTGGAATTACACATATTAGAGGGAGTGAGTGTGGAGGAAGGGGGAGACATACCCCTCTCTATGCAGCCTTTGATCCAGGAATTCGAGGAGGTTTTTCAACCACCTCTAGGGTTGCCACCACTCAGGGAGCAGGAGCATGCCATCACATTAAGAGAGTGAGTGTCACCTGTCAGCGTACGACCTTACCGTTACCCTCAGTTTCAGAAGGATGAAATAGAAAAGTTGTTCAGAGAAATGCTGGAAGCAGGGATCATCAGGCCCAGCACTAGCCCGTTCTCTAGTCTTGTTCTATTGGTGAAGAAAAAGGATGGCAGCTGATGTTTCTGTGTAGACTACTGCACACTCAACAAGAAAATTGTACCTGATAAGTTTCCCATATCAGTGATTGATGAGCTTCTGGATGAGTTGAGTGGAACAGTGGTTTTCAGCAAGATCGACTTGAAATCAGGATATCACCATACACGAATGAAGAAAGAAGATGTGCCCAAGACCGCCTTTAGAACTCATGAGGGCCACTATGACTTCCTAGTGATGCCCTTTGGCCTCACCAATGCCCTAGCCAAGTTCCATGCACTCATGAATAAGATCTTCAAACAATATCTCAGGCGATTTGTGTTGGTATTCTTCGATGACATCTTAGTATATAGCAGAACAGAGGAGGAGCATTGGGGACACTTAAAGAAGGTGTTAGAGGTTCTCCAAGAGCACCAGTTGAAGGCCAACTTAAAAAAGTGCTGCTTCACGCAAGCTAGTGTGGAATACTTGGGGCATGTGGTATTCAAGGAAGGGGTAGCAGCAGATCAGTCCAAGGTTGAGGTCATGCTTAAGTGGCCACTACCAAAAAATCTAAAGGAGTTGAGGGGATTCCTAGGGCTTATAGGGTACTACAGAAGATTTGTGAAGGGATACAGCACTATAGCTTGGCCACTCATTGAGCAGTTGAAGAAACATGGGTTCTATGGGGGGAGGCAGCTACGACATCATTCGAGAAGTTGAAGAAAGCTATGACCACAGTTCGGTCTTAGCTTTGCCGGATTTTACTCAGGCCTTTATAATAGAGACAAATGCATCGGGATACGGACTAGGAGCAGTGCTGATGCAGAGTCACAGGACCATTGCATATTTCAGTCAAGTGTTGACTGCCAAAGCCCGGCTGAAATCTGTCTATGAGAGGGAGTTGATGGCAATGGTTTTGGCCATCCAAAAGTGGCGCCCTTACTTACTCGGAAGACATTTCATAGTCAGGACTGACCAACGGAGCCTGAAATATTTTGTTGGAGCAGCGCATGGTGACAGAGGAGCATCAGAGGTGGCTATCCAAACTGTTCGGATATGATTTTGAGATTCAATATAGGACAGGGGTAGAAAACAAGGCAGTATATGCCTTGTCCAGGTGCATGGGGGAGTTGCAAACACTGGCTGTATCAGTCCAAATGATGCTAGATTGGGATGCCATAAAGGAGGAAAGTGCTAGGAATGAGGAACTAAGCAAGATCAGGGCTGACTTACTAAAGGGAGAGGGCAGTCATCCAGGATACTCGTTGGAGGGGGAGAGATTGCTGCACCAGGGGAGGTTTGTGTTACTCAGAACGTCAACACACATCCCACAATTGCTACATGAGTTCCATGGAACTGCAGTGGGAGGTCATTCAGGAGTGTTAAAGACCTACAGGAGACTAGCGACAGAGCTGTACTGGAAAGGTATGCATAGGGATATGGAAGAGATGGTATCCAGGTGCGAGGTGTGCCAAAGGAATAAGTATCTAGCTATGTCACCAGGGGTTTACTGCAGCCATTGACGTTACCAGGATGAGTCTGGGAGGAGATATCTATGGACTTCATTGATGGGCTACCCCGCTCTGAGGGATTCACTGTGATTTTGGTGGTAGTGGATAGATTGAGCAAATATGCTCACTTTATTCCTCTACGCCATCCATACACTGCGGTGACAGTAGCGTCAGATTTCATCAGGGAGATAGTCAGATTACACGGAGTGCCAGAGGCGATAGTATCAGACAGGGATAAAGTGCTCCTCAGCCATTTCTAGAAAGAATTGTTCAGACTGCAGGGGACTGTGCTGAAAAGGAGTAGTGCTTACCACCCACAGACGGATGGTCAAACAGAAGTAGTCAACCGGAGCCTGGAAACTTATCTGAGATGCTTCGCATCAGAGACACCCAAGCTATGGGCTAAATGGCTATCATGGGCCGAGTAATGGTACAACACATCTTTTCATTCAGCCTCTCAGATGACCTCATTTAAGGTGTTGTAAGGAAGAGATCCGCCCCACTTGGTGCATTTTGGGAGTAGTAGGACGCCCGTTTCTTCAGTGGAGTATTTGGAGGAAAGGGATAAGACACTAGAAGAGTTAAAAAGACATCTGTTGAGTGCTCAACAGATTATGAAGAAACAAGCTGATGGGCATCGGAAGGATATTCAGTTTGAAGTGGGCGAGAAGGTATTTTTGAAACTCCGTCCATATCGACAGAAAACGGTCGTCAGCTGGAGGAATGAGAAGCTTGCTCCAAGGTACTTCGGGCCTTATGAAGTGTTGGCGAAAATTGGAGTCGTGGCATATCGTTTGAAGCTACAACCTACGGCGACGATCCACCCCGTTTTCCATGTATCCCAGCTGAGGAGAGCCATTGGGGATTATGCTACCAGTTCGGAGTTACCATGAACATTAACTGAGGAGATGGAGATGATACTGGAACCTTTGGAGCTCATGGAGGTTCGTCAGAAAGCAGATGGAGCTACAGAAGTCCTGATCAAATGGAAGAACCTCCCTGACTATGAGGCCACGTGGGAGCCATACGAGCGGATGAAACGACAATTTCCTGACTTCCACCTTGAGGACAAGGTGGTTCTTTGGGAGGGCGGTAATGTTAGATTGGTCCTCTATGGACCGGTCCAGCCGGCCCAAACCCGTTTGGACTGGCTCGGTTCGTTTACACCAGGAGGAGGCCGGCGGAAGCCATGGGGGAGCAAGGGTGGGGTCCACTTGAATTTCAAATTCAATCTTGGAGCCAAAAGAGGGGGAAACTAGGGCAATTAGGTCCTTTTGTATTAATTTTGAATTGTATGCATTAAGTAGGGAGAAAAGGCTAGGGCTTGGGGGGGTGAAATTTTGTGAGAGTTCTCTTGTTTTTCTTTGGTGGCTAGGGCTCTAGAACGAATTCTAGAGATTGGGGGAGTGCGATCCTCCTCTCGAATAGAGGATCCTTGTATCTTTGCTCTTTTTCTTGCATCTACTAGTAAAATACAAGTCGTTTCTCCAATTTTCTCTCAGATTTTCCCTGTTTTTTCCACTCTTTTGCTGTTTTTCCTGCTGTGAACAGCCGTTTGCATTGAGATTTGCTGTAGAAGTGAATAGGAAATACTTGAAATCAAGTATTTCCTATCACAAACCACCTACTCAAGCACCGTTATGTGGATCGATTGAGGATGGCGCTTATAAGAACACTACAGTAATGCACCAATGATGATAGTTTCCCGTGTACAAAATTGCAGAAACAATTCGATGAATGATGGAACTAGAATGTACTATCTGTACCAGTTTTTTCTTCCGAGCATTTGAACTTGCCAACATCTCCGCCACCTTCCCTAGCAATTGCTCTTCTTCATTAGCAGCACACTCCTGCAAGAATATCTTGACTTAGGAAATATTGCAAAGGAAATCATATTTTAAGCTAGAGTAAAGCCAAATAGTTGAGAAATGCTGAGAATCACCTTAAGCTTCCTCTCGAGTTCGCTTAATTGTTGGTTTTGTGCAGTCTGTGTTTCTTCCATAATTTTGTTCAACATAGATACATGAACATCTAAAGTATGGAAGAAGGTTGTAGTTGTATTTGAAATGGAGCGTGTTGCCTCCACAGTTCTTTGGTTTCCCTGGTTTGGTTTCCACAAAGATTAGTTGTGAGCATAAGTTCGGCTAATAAAATAGAACAAGTTTTGCATGTTCATAACAACCACCAACCTCTCTTTGCAGTTTTGCAAATGTATTCAATTTAACCTCTTGATTAGAGAGGCTACTTTCAAGCTCTTTCAGCAAATTCTCTGCCTCCCAAGCAATACTTTTCAGGCACTATTAAAAAAGGAACTAATCAAACCTAGGGAAGCAGTTTTTGAGCAGAAATTTGCGAGAATGTAAGTAAAACTAACTTCATCTAGAGAAGAAGAATTTGTTAACATTTGTGAGTACAACTTCCCCAAAGTTACTCGAGAATTTTGATCTATTTCTCCTGCCAAACCATCCATTGTTGCTATTCCTGAGCCATACAGAGCTTTCAGTTTTTCTACCCATGCTATAAGTTCTGTAGCAGCCTGGGTATGAAGTCAATATATAAGTAGATTTTCAAATATATAAGGTATAAATGATAACTTCTGCCTCTCCAGACAATTTCCATAATTTGTTACCATAGCCTTCGTTGAAACAAATGATTGCATGCCTTCCTCTATTTTTTTTAGTTGATTCTCTTGCTGCATCGCAGAAGTTAAGACAACTTTATGTAAATTTTGCAGTTGTTGAGTCAATTGTGATTGGAACTTCTGGACAGTAATTTTATTCCTCTCTTCTATCTTATCTTTGTTATCTGAAAATGACCATATTTGAAGATATCAGTATAAAATGTTCTCTTCCATCGTTCTGAATGAGCAACAAAAACTATTTTAACCACTTTGATACTTATCTACTAACCAATTTTGCAGCACAATCCAGAAATATCTGCAGCAGCATGCTCTAGCTCTAATCGAAGAGCACGGGCATGTTCAACAAGCCCTTTTTCTGGAAGGTATGAAACAAATAATAGATCATCTAAAAATTTAAATGAGAAATATTGCACTCGCATAGCATTAGAATTCTGGAGTATGTAACTTATCAAACAAAAAAGAAAAAGGAGTTTCTTAATATGCAGCATTATTTTCCTTATCTTAACTATTTCTGAATGTGTTTTATAAATTTTTTTCATCTATCCATTTTTATTACGAGATGCTTATGATATTAACTTTATTTATACCAATCTGAAATTACAATTTCTAAGCAAGCTACTTTTCTCTTCCCTTTTTATGCATTTTTATATTGATTCCATCTGCCCGCTTAATTGGTGACTCTAACATCCTTCGTAAATAAATGCCCAGACCAACAAAGTCTATTCTCCAAACTTCATCATCCGATCCATCGGTGCTGCTCATATTCTTCTCAAATACAATTAATTTTTCACTTTATCTTGTCAAGTGTAGCATTATATTCACAATAATTATCAGTGTTGTCACATTTAACTTTTTTTAGGCTCCCAATGCTTGGATCATACAAAAGAATTGGTTTTATTTTCATATTATAAAATTTATTTTTATGACTTCATTATATTCTTTTTTCATGGATTCATGTTGTCTGCGCCTATTTAATCAATGTTAATCTGCGCCTATTTAATCCTGGATTCATGTAGTCTGCCTAGTGTTTAGAATATAATGATCTATTAATCAGGTTTTCTTATTAATATGATCTGAACATGATATTTGATGATGTGTTTTGCATGCTCTCAATTTAATATTTGAATTTATTCTAACTGGTTTGTGAAGGCACCTATTTTTTATGAAGAACTGGACAATTATGAGTTATCAATACTTGCATCATTATTTTTTAGAGGTTGATTTGAGATATTAAAAAAAAAAAAAAAAATTCCTGTTTGAACTACAGTGCAACAGCGCTGCACCTTTGAGCGCTGAGGCATTGGGGTTTAAAGTGCAGTGGCGCCCTGAATGGCTGTTGTGGCGCTGCAGTCTCTGTTCTACAGTAATTCTGGATTCTACATGCAGCGTTGCAGCCCTGGGTTTGAGCGTTGTGGCGCTAGACCAATAAAATCATTTTTATATATTTTTTTCTCCACTCACACATATTCCCTCACTCTACTGCCGACTTGCCTGAGAAGGAGAAGGAGAAGGAGAAGGAGA